TTGTTCAGTCAAAATTGAATTTATCTTAATGTTCATTTCCCTTACGCCTCGATTTGCTCCAAAAAAAAAATAATTGTTGTTGATTTCGTTGAGTATTCGTGGTATATTACTGAATAGAAAGTAATATTACAATGAAGCCAACGCCTCATTTTCCTCGCTCGAATCTAACTATTATCAAAGTATCTGGAACAAATGCTTCTCTCTCCTTATGTCGCTGATCGGAAAGTACGCTAAGGTGCAGTTCTTGCCCTAACTTAAAAGAGTTCAAATAGTTTGGCGAGAAAATCGAGCAGCAAGTTGTTGAAAATTTTACCGATAGCGACAAAAAATGCATCGAACGCACAGTGATAAACGTAGGTGAATAAAAAACCAGGCTCAATTCAGTCAGGATGTAACTGTGTTGGTCCGTAACTTAGAATCCATAGACGAAACGACGAAACAGTGTGAAAACATGCAAAGCTACTAGAGGGAAGAAGAAAAATAGCAAAAAGAAACCATTTGAAACGAGACTAAACGAAATCAACTCCACGCGAGGAATGAACTGATTAATTTTTGCAACCGTGTGCATTTCGAGTAGTCATACCTTGCAAACGCCTAAGTTTTTCGTGTTCTATAAACCCTTTGATGAATACCTGAAGGTAGAGCAGTCAAAGATGAACTTACCCACGGCCCCGACGAGAATTAAAGTGAAACGCACAGAGATCTGCATCTTCGCTGCTCCTTTGCAAATGAATTGTCGAGAGTAACCAACGTCTTATTATAATTAGTAAAACCACTTGCTTTACCGATTTTTCCACTTTGTTCTAGGTGACGTCATATGAAGGATTACATGAGCATGGCTGGCGCGGTTGGCTGAGCTCCAACTATGATACACAGTCACGTCATTTTTAACAAGATATTTACAAGATATTTAGAGACCTGATTATCAGACAGGGTAGATTTTTCAACCCTTTTCTACTCTTTTCTACCCTTTTCACGTTGCAATTTCGGAAGGTTTGAATACCGCTGTCAGAGCCACTCATATCGACACTGATATTGGAAATGTTTAAGGGGTGGGGGAGCTCATCATCGAGGGAGTAGAGATCTTTGCTCCGACAAAAATGTTTATGGATCTGTCCATCGGTCACGAAACACAATGAACAATTGTGAAATTGTGTTGAAGTTTAGTGTTTGTGCCGAGAAATATACGGAATCCAAATTGGGATATTTAAGAAAAAGTGCGTGTTTGACTCGGGTTGCGATTAACTACCCCCCCCCCCCCCCTTTTTCTTTGTCCAAAACGCTTCGCCGCCTTTGGAAAGTAATTTTACTCGTTAACATGACGAGGCAGGCTGCGGATGTTGTTGACTAAGCAAGTAGTTCTAGACACCATATTTACCAATGAGCTGTAACGACGTGAACCATATCACGCGCACCGTTTTATTTTAACGTTAGTGTCAAATTAGCAAGGTATGTTTTTAATAACAGTGAGTCGAAGTGAAAGATACGTGATAAAGCTGAAAGCACAATTTGTACGTGTATCAAAGCAGGTAAAGGGAATAGCACGATTTTTCGCTGGATAAGTAATATTACTTCTTAAAACCTCCACTTGTCAAGTGGAGGTCTCAGCAAGTAATATTACTCTCTATCCGTCATTGAGCAAGCATGCGGACATGATACAGGATATTTGCGTCTACACTATATTGGGCTCTACAGGATATTGTCAGTCTACATCACGTAGGTCGCTTTCAAGTCCGTGATATTTATGGGAAACGAAAGGCTTCTTCGGAAAAGAAAAAGGCAGACAAAGAAATTTCAATAGCAATTTTTTTTTTTATCATAGCATTAAAAAAACCTGAACATGCAATGCAAATTGAACTCCTCAAACAGACTGTCACTGATCATGAAATAATCTCTTGCTGAATATATTTTTACTCTGACTTTCCAAAGAAAACCCCGGCTTCATTTATTTTTAAATTTTTTAAAATTTTTAAACTTTTTTTTTTTATTCTTTCAGTTGTAAATCGCAGTCAAGTCCGTAACACGCGTAAGCGACGTTCTGACGCATGCTTGACGTTTTGACCGATGAGCACATGGCACGGCGTAATGGCGGAGAAGAGAAGTTTCCGCGTGCAAAATCAGCACAGATACTGTGTGTAATACGCTCAAAACGCATTCAAAATATGCAAACAGCGTTCGCAGTAGACCCACGCTAAAAGGCGTCGAGCGTTTTCGGAACAGGTCGGTCCGCAAACCTTATGAGAGACCTCTTTATGAGCGAACATATTTAATGAACCTTCATCGATAAACACGCTATATCAAATCAGCTATCTCATGTTAATCGAGAGAAGCATAAACGCAAATCTCATCGTATATGTAGACGTGATCGTGAACCAAGCAGAATACCAATACGAAGTTTGAAAATTTAAAGGAACAGAAGCAGAAAGGTTAGAGAATTTGTCTATGCACAGATTCTTTCATGTATAATCATGTCATCTACATTGTACTGTTATGTTAATGCTAAAAAAACTATTAAGTAAAACGACGTTTAAGTTTAACCGTCGTGAGAGAATTTGTCAAAGTATAAGAAAGATAAAATATCGTGCCAGTCGATATGTAACATTGTTTTCTTATAACAAACTGATGTGTTCTTGCAAGAGTGAGGCTCGTATAGCAAATTATTGCAATTATAAATTAAGTCACATACAAAATCCTGGTCCTCTAATATGTGTTGACCCTATCAAAATAATAACAGCTTCATAAAGTTAGGGTAATGAGTTTCTGGGCAGAATGCAGGACAGCAATGTGTACTTGCAATGAGTTTGTGCTCTTTGACTTACAATAACAAACAGGGGATCAGCTCTGCAAATGATCTTACACCTTTAAAATAAATTCTTATTAATGTTCTTATTGGACGACAATTTCTAACATTACACCCTTGAAATATTATCATTGTAATCAGTAGATGTATAGCCATATAAAAAAAAATATTAAATTTATTATAATCTTACAGAATGAAAGCACTAGGATAATTTTCATATGCAAGTGAAAATTTGCACTTACTGTAATTAGAAGACTCTGGATTTTTTTGTTCATTATCAACTGCATGCTAAAAACTAAGTAGTCTTTTTTCAGTCAAGGGCAAATGAAAATAGTGGTTTTTAATGAAGTGATTTCAATAAGCCTTAGGGTACTGCTGATGAATTACATAAAAGTTATTAGAAGCCAAATACTTTTTCACCTTTTGTTTCTTTGCATGTTTTAGGGTGATTTTCATTCGCCCATGAAATAAAAAAAAATTACTATTAGTAGTTGATAAAGAACGAAAGAAAACAAAAGATACACAGTACACCACTAACTATAAGTTACCCTATTCTTTCACGGAAAATGAAAATCACTCTAAACACCAACAGTTAATTAGTACACTGTAAAATTAAAAGAGTTGATTTGGCCCCAAAAATGGGGCCAAAACGAGTGAGTCCAGTTTGGCACTCGCTTAGGGTCAATTCAGCCCCATTGAAATGGGGCTGTTTTTGGCACCAATTTTGGGGCTGAATTGACCCCGTTGTAGGGGCCAAATTGGACCATGTGAAGGGTGAATTTGAAAAATACAGGGGCCACTTTGAAATTTATAGGGGCCAAAACAGCCCCCGAAATTTCAGCCCTCTCACAAATGGCCCCTTTAAAAAGAGCCAATTCAGCTCCAATGTGGGCCACTTCAGAAGTAGAGGGCTCTTTCCTCTCCATGCTGATTTTCCCCCTTACATTCAAATAATGAAAATACACCACATACTTTATCTTTCAAACACTCATTTATTAGGTTCTAGATATTGTTTATGTAAAAACCTTTTATGCTACCTGATTTTACAGTTATTAAGAATCTTAATTGTGGTATAAAACAGACAAACTTTGAAACATCATGTGAAAGAATATAACATACATACATATTTAACATTAATTCAACCATTTTCTAAAATAGATCTCTTCCCTAAATCAGTATACTTCTTAACAGTGCAAGCATTGCAAGAAATTACACCCAAGAGACACTTGTGAGTAAAGCTTCCCTTTTCAATGACTTAGCAAATGTGGTAATGTAAAGCAGCTTATAATTAAGACTGATTTAAAGTACTGAAAATTATCAAAATAAGACAGAGGTAACAAATGGTCCAGTTCCTGCACAAGAATATAGATCTTGTTTGATTTGTGCATATGAAAAACAAAGAGCCTTAGAGCAGCAAAGAGTATTCTTCCAGTGGATGTGAGAATACATGCACTCATATTGCTACTTTAGATATTATCAAAATATAAACTATCAGCAAGTACTACCGCAGGCATTTGCCAAGTCATTGAAAATAGAGGAAACAGTGACAAGAGTCTGCCTGTGCCCAATTTCAAGCAATGCTTGCTCTAAAAAAAAGTCAAAATTGCCTTTGACCGATTGTAAGAAAATATGAATGAGCCAAGTAACCCAATGAGAGCATCAAGAATCTTTTCTTGTGAGAAGTGACAAATTACACTTCCTTCTGTTACTATATTCAGGTGATTGATGTATTGAAGATCTCCAACAATTAAAATTTGTGCTGGACATAATCTCTGATTGCTGAATCAACATCAGCTACTCTATGCAATAAAAACAAGTTTTAAAACCACATTAAAATCAAGCCAAAGTGCAAAAAGTGCCTGTAGCCAGAAAAAAAAAAAAGAATATATATATACACACTTAAGTTAAAGAATTAAAGAGGACGCATCAATTCTCTGTGACTGAGTTTTGTGCCTAAGCGCTTGTCAGACAGAAAAGTTCTGTCTGACAAGCGCTTAGGTGTGAAATTCAGAGTCACAGAGAATTGATGTGTCCTCTTTAATTCTTTAACTTATGTATACTTAGCTCTACAGCATTGAGCACTTTATGCCAAGGTAGACTCTACCCCCACATTTACATATATATATATATATATTGTTTTTCTAAAACTATAAGCTAAAACACCAGGAATGGAAGTGGAAGTTTAGCTCAATGTGTGTAATTTGTCTCCCATTCAAGACTTGAAAAACTAATGTATGACTCCCAAAATATCTGAAAAAAATCAGCTATTCTATGTCCAATATTTATCTAATGGTTTGACAACAGGAATATTTTAAAAAATTGCAAAATCAAAAAAACTAAACAAAAAGGCAAAATTAATACAACCCCAAAGTACTTGAACCTTTGTATCTGGACTTCATTGGCAAATGGGCTCAAAAATTTTAGCTGTTCATCTTAGTACCAAAGTAGCAGTTTTTTGGACTTGTACCTCCAAAATGGTCACAACTTCATTAAATGCATGTGATAACAAACACACAAGAACAAAGGTCATGAACTTAAAAGGTGAGAGTGATTATTTTGCAACTTTTTAGTTTAAGGCAAGAGATTCAGCACCACAAAATTGTCTCTCTTCACTGCAAGCAGAAGAGGTGAAGCAATAGATTTTTAGACCATACCAATCCATTCAGTTTCCAAGTCAACTTAGTCTAGTATCCTGCTAACCATACAAGAATACTCTGCAATAATTTTTTTTTGCAATCCACTGTTGCTCAGAGTACTTTAGGCTGCTGATGAGATATCCCTTCTGGGTATCCAACTCTACTGAGGCAGAGAACTGTACAAAAAAAACAAACAAATGAGCAAATTAATTTGTTGTTGGAGAACAGTAAATTTTTGCAACTACAAAGTTGCAAAATATTTGTAAGCAAACTGTGCATAAGAAGTAAAAACACAATAATAGTGATCATCAATGATGTATTTTCACCAAACTGTATATGTACTTATCAAGAAAAGAAATCATACCTCTATGCACTTCAGTTTTAGTTCAGTATTCATGAATAAATAAGGATTGCTTGTAGACTTAAAAAACAAAACAAAGAAAAGTTTCTTACCCTCGATGGTAGTTGGAATTTTGAAAGCCATTCAGGAGGAACCTGTAGGTAAATATTTGTTTTCAAAAAAATTAAACTGTCTGATAACATCCTATCAATTCAATAATTTTTTAATTTACCAGATTTAAAAATTGGGTTTACTTTGTTTTATGCATGGTGCAAGTAAATACATATCTAATATATTTCAAAAAAAATAAAGCAAATCTCGCCATTTTTGTAGGTGCAATCCCCGAGATTTGTCATCTTTAACTGACCAACTGGCACCTTGTGTGTTTTCCTTTAGGATATAATCGAAAGAAAGTAATCGATAATGTACTCTTCACTATCCTGCTAAGTTTAATATACAAGAACTTACTTAGGCAGTGCTCAGTTCTGTCGCCTCGTCCGTAAAACAGAGATCCCTGGGCGATTTACCCTTTTCTTTCGGTGCCAATGTCACCTCTAAATTTTCATAATCGCTGATGTTATCTGAATCATCAATCGAAGTTTGAACCGTCTTACTCGAAGGACTTGATTCTGCACGCTGAAAGAGTGAGAGCCAAAAAATCAGCTTAAGTGGATGCAAACAAAGACATAAAAATATCAGTTCATCTTTTCAAGAAAAAGATTAAGAATTCAGAGTGAGAGATCCTAAAATCAGAGAATCTTGAAATAAGTTAAATCCATCTTGTGCAAATGCAGTATTCGAACAATAACCGTCTCTATCTCTCGGCGCCAGAATTTGATCACGTGACTTTAGTTGCGAAACCGCTGAGACTCAACAAGACTCGGGAGAAGAGGCGAACCATTCAAATTCTCTGGTGGAAAAATTAATTATCGTACCGACGAAGAACTCGTGTCATCTCTAGGTTCAGCGTTCATTGCAATCAATTTCTTGAGCTTTAGACGCTCTTTTATAATAGGGATGTAGTGCCTTAGTACGTCTGCATCTTGGGCGATGGCAAGGAGATCTTGGCCATCGCAACCGTCTTTTTCTGCAAGATAAGATACGAACAAAGATCAATGGAGCGGTCAAGTTTGAGAATGTAAAGTTGCAGTAAAATACGTTGTTAAGAAATTTCTTTTGCCTACCTTTCCTTTCTTAAGGTGGTCTTCCACTCAAATTTTAAAAAAATTCAGTTTATGCTTTACCTAAGTTATTTAAGTACCATTGGAGAGATCACCTCAAACTGATACTTTTAAGAATTTTGATAGACATGTCGTTGCCATGGTAACCAAGTTTTGGGCCCCCAACTGTGAAAATAATGGTGTTCTTGTAAAAAGAATATCTCAAGAACTAGCGGTCCTATTCACCTGAAATTGGTATCAAAACTAAGTACAAAGATGGCTTTATGTCATGAACCTCAGAAAACCCATATTTTTTATGCCAAGCTATTATAAAATTGCAACTGTTCCTTGATTACAACATTTTTGTTTGTATTATCACCATGGATACATCTGTCAACAACCATGTAACTAAAAATCACTAATAATTTTAGGTTCACAACACAGAACTATACTCAAGCAAACCTCCCTGAAAATTTCATCCCTTTTGGTTTAATACTTTTCAAGAAATCCTTTTTGCCGTGACGGGCACTCTCTCAAAATTGCAAAACTGAGAAAATCAAGTTTAAAGATTTAAGTTGATCAATCAAAATAATCACTAAAGCAACTGGTGCCTTTTGGAAAGTTTAAGCTAAGCTCTTTGATGTTCTCATTAAAATGCACCAGGTGCATATATGTCACCCTCCTTTTCCTGGGATTTGTCATTTTTTTTCTTTCTTTTTCCCCTGAGTAGCCTCCTCCTTGTCTTGTTCTTCTCTTGGAACTTGTATTCAGCTTTCAAAACACGAATCTTGTCCAACTGCTGGCATTCATTTATACAGAATTCACCTGGGGGAATTCCAAGACTCTCAAACACTTTAATAGCTGCTCTTGAACCAATATTAAAGTGAGCGACAGCATCATAAACCCCCAGCTGCAGTACTTCAGAACCAACAAACACCTCCTTTGGCACACGCTCCCAAACCATACCATTGAGTGACTCATTCTGGTTTTGAGTCTTGCCATCAAGACATTTGCTGAGAAGGCTGTCCTCACTCAACCTTTTATAAATGGGTTTGATTTCCTCTCTGACATCTAAAGGTAGGCCAGTTCCATGTTTGAAAGTGTTTGTCCTATTGACCTTGTCCTGCTGAAAACCACACCAGCTTTCAGGACCCTCAGGGCAATGCCCATGGTAATTACTGTCTGCAGAAGAAGCACAGTGAAACAAGCTGGCATAAATTGCCTTCTTCATGGCAGCAAGATCACCTGAGTTGCTTCGAATGGCAATTCCATAGTAATTTTGCAGTCTGTCAATCATGGCATCTGTCAGCCTGCCTTTCCCACCCATCCCTTTCTTTTCCTTCTTTAACTTTCGTAAAGCTGTTCCCAGTCGTTTTTGAACATGGCCAACACATTCCTTCTTTTGAACTTCAATATCATAGACTTGGTATACATCTTTGACTAATGAGTAACTTTTGCTGTCACCATCGCCATAATATTCATCATACTGCAGCTTATGCAGATCTACTGACCTTTGAAACATTCGAAGGGCGCCTTCTGGTTCCATAGCTGGTGCTGAACCCTTAAAGTTTGCCTTGCAAGAGGCTCTGTGGTCTGCTCTCCATGCAGTAGTTTCTGGGGTGTCAGGATCATTTTCATGCTCCCTGCACTTGATACAAACTTTGCTTAGGGGCTCAACATCTACCACTTTCCCTGTATCCATGCTAATAGCACTCACACAGCCATTTAAAGAAGAAAAGCCTCTTCTCTGCCATGTTCCATCAACAGACACTCCACATCTTGCTATGCCCTCATCTGAACCTGGCTTGATATCGTGAATCTCTCTTGCAGTATCACACATTGTCTCCAGTGAGATCTTCTTTACTGCTCGGAGTATTTCTTTATTATGGCGAGCATATGGTGTAGGTCTAGGAGGTGGCGGCATGTTCATAAGTCCACAAAACCTCTTACCTGCCGCACGTCCACAACCAACAGATCTTGAAGCATACACAAATCTTCTGTTTACTTCAAAGAAACGGCCTATTTGAGCTGAAGTAAAGAATTCCATAGACCAACCACACGAGCAGCAAAGCAAACGAAGATTCGAGGCACAACCTTTGCGTTTCATAGCTTGCTCTTGTAAAATTAAATCACAAACAAAGCATTCTTTGCATGGCATACATTCCATCACAGAAGACAAAATTCTCATATCTACAAACCGAAATCCACTTATGATTGACTCCTTACACTCCTTGATACCCTCAGAAGATGCGGTGGTCAGACCTGCTGGAATCTTGCGGGCAGAAGCTGAACATTCTTTCCCAAGACCTTTGGTGCTGACACTCGTTTTTTCCTTCTTCGAACGCTTCGATTCAGTAGAGTACTGGTTTCCACGATATTTACGCTTTTTTGTGTAACCAGAACGAGCCTTTGGTGGCATTGATAAATAAATTATCAAGCAAAATCGCAATAGGAATAGAGTGAACGAATACGACCAAAATGGTGGATGATAAGTTGGGAAATAGTGTCGCCACATATCATCCGCCATTTTGGGTGCTCGTAACTCACTGCATGTATGCCTGATTGAAATGTCAATAAACAACGGGAATAACCAGGGAGGGGTCCCAGGAGAAATTCCGTCGTTTCCTTTTGACTGCAACTGCGTTTTGTTTTCATAAACAAACCGTTGCTATGGTCGTTGCTAAGGTGAAAATTCATACTCGCTAAGGAATTTAGCAAAATTTTTGACTTTACCTCCTGAATATGGAAAAAAGGAAGCTGTAGAATGAAAGAGTAATGGTTAAAGATACCAAAAAGCACCATTTTCAAAATGAAAGTTTTTTGACAAAAAATACAAATTTTTGAGTGGAAGACCACCTTAAGTCTCATTCCATGCGACTGTAGCCAAGAAACAGCCTCTTCAGTGACGAATTCGCTGCTATAATTCATTATTGTTTCCGACGCACGTGGTCTAAGTTCGACTAATGCCATCACAGGCAGCTCACGCTCACGTCTCGAGAAAAAGCCAACGATTAATTCCGGTGTGACTCGGTGTTCAGTTACGAGAGGAACCGTTGAAAATTTGAACACTTTATAAGGAATAATATATAGGGAATGAAATATGGTCGAAAAAAGAAAATTATTTTTATATTTTCTTTTTTTTTCAAAAATTTCACCTCGTTGGGGCCAAATTGGTCAATCCTACTTGGCTCTTGGAAGGGCCAAATTGAGAAAAAGTTCCAAAGTAGAATTCATATGGGCCAATTCAGATTTTGGATGGGTCGAAATGGTACCTGTCCCGCCCGTTTTGGCTCAAATAGTCCAAAACGAACCTTGATGGGCCAAACTGGCCCTCGAGAAATTGGGGCCAATTTATATTTGGCTTTTGGGGTCAATTTGGCTCTTTTCATTTTACAGTGTACTCACCAGGTTTAATGAAATCACTCTAACTAATAAACCAAATTGTATTAACTGAAGTATACCAGCCCTGTAACTCCAAATGGGAACAAAAAAAATTGGAAGGTAATAGTACAAAAGATGCTAAAGTGTATTTCACAGGTTCATGAGAACCATTCTAACAACCCTAAAAAAATTAATAGTTCATCTGCTAATAATATTTGGTAGTAACTTTTTGTTTTCTTTAGGTGATAAGAAAAATAATCAACTGGGTTTTAAGAGTGGAATAAGTGTCATCACCCTAGCACTTGGGGCTGTTTACAATTAAAAGCTATTTCAGCCTGGAATCTTTTGTTAACCAAGAAAATGAAAACACAAGAAGACAGTCTTTTTGGCAAATGACTCACCCTGTTACAACCCCTTAACCCACAAAAAAAAATTTAATTAAGTCAAAAAAGAAAAAAAAATAGATATAGTGTCTGGTGATAAGTCTTGAGATAATAGCCAATAATATATGGCACCACATCCCCGTACCCCACCCCAGAAAATGATCTTCACACTTCATAAAATGATTTTTTAAGCTCTCTGTATACATATGTGAAAAACCTGCATCTCTGGCATACCAGGACAGAGAACAGTTAATGGATAAACCGATACTCGCATGAAAAATTAAGCAAAATACAGGCACAAAGGACACAAAGTTCACAATCAACAGAAAGCCTGAGCCTGAACACATTTTTGCGTTTAGTTTTTTTTTTATGATCCTAGTAATGCACAGGAAACGTGGCAAAGACGAACATAAATATTTCATTTTGCCATCTCCTCAGTCCTTCAACAGTGCACCGAGTGACTTGTACAGATGGAGTACGATGTTTGAAACTTCGTCGGATAATTTCAATAATTTGCTACACGAGCTTCACTCTCGCAAGAGCACATCAGTTTGTTATAGGAAAACAATGTTAAATATCGACTGGCACGATATTCTATTTTTGTTATACTTTGACGAATTCTTTCAGGACAATTAACTTAAACGTCGTTTTATTAAATAGCTTTTGTTTTGTTTTGTTTTTTTTTTAACGTTTACATAACAGTACAATGTAGATGACATGGCTATACATGAAAGAATATGTGCATTGACAAATTCTCTAACCTTTCTACTCTAGTTCCTCTAAATTTTCAAACCTCGTATTGGTATTCTGCTTGATTCACGATCACGTCTACGTACACGATGAGATTTGC